CGAATTTCCTGAATTTGATAGCACAAATCCCACAGGGTGGATTAGAAGATGCAATACATTTTTCTTGCTATACCGTATCTCTGATGAGTTGAAAATGGATTACATGTCCTTCTACATTAAGGGGGGCATTGATGCGTGGTTCGAAGGGTATATAATCGACCATGGCGGAAGAGTATTCTGGGATGAGTTTGCAGAGGATGTGTGAAGGAGATTTAATTCCCTTGGGCTAGAATGTGTAGAGGAGGCATTCAAAGTGTTGAGACAGACTGGCATGGTGGAGGAATATAACAACAAATATGATGAGCTTAAAATCCAGATGCTGATTGCACACCCTACACTAACAGAGGTGTATTTTATCAAGAACTTTATTAGTGGGCGGCAGAAAAATCACATAAGATGCTTTGTCAAAACTGCTAACCCTAAGTTTTGCCTAGTAGACAAATAGAACGACTTTGAGGGTTGGGATTAACCTGAAGGAGGTAATGTGTTAGCAACACATCAATCTCCAAATAGTACCCAAAAAAGAAAAAAATCAATCTCCAAAGTATGGTGTAGGTAGGCCAGGTGCACGTGTGGTGAAATATCATTCTCCAAATCTTTATCCACCATTACGTTGATCTTTACAAATGTTTGTATATGAAATGATCCCATGGCTGCACTTCTTTGGATTCCATAACTGATCAAAACCTGGCAACATTCACAAACAGAATGAAAAAAAAGAAGACCTAACTTGCAAAATATCCTCCAAATTTCTTGAGTATATAAATCTCGAAGCTCTATGGGATTTTAGTCAACAACAAAACCAATAATGGGTGAAGACACCAAACAGGCCGGTTTGCTCCATTTCTTGCAGTTTGGTTAAAAATTACAGTTTCTAATTGTCAGCTTTTTCATTGAAAATTAAAGTTTCTGTTAGGAACAAGCTAAGGTGGAGGCAAAGCCAGAGTAGAAGAAAGAAGAAGAGAAAACAGAGGAGAAGAAGGAAGAACCCAAAACACCATTTCTATCTGTGGACTTGCATTGTGTTGGATGTGCTAAGCAGATTGAGAGGTCCATTCTGAAGATCAAAGGTGTGGAGGGGGTAGCGATGGATATATATGTCGCAAAACCAAGTGACCATAAAAGGGGTTGTCGAGTCGCAGGCTGTTTGTACGATGATTATGAAGAAAATCAATACAGTTGTGAATTGAAGATACTCTCGCCATTGCCGGAATCTGAAGGGGAACCTTTACCTGAAGTCGTTGCGTCCCAGGTAATTTAAACCACCTTAACAATCATCCTATGAAACACCAAATTTTTTTTTTTGAGCCACTAGGGAAATTAGCAACTACGGCATAAGGGAATGCACCTGACTCTATGGTCCTAGTCGATAAAAGGTCAAAATAATGTAAACCAAGTTGGCTGGTAGGCTTGTGTGTACTCGCCTTGGGGTGCTAGTTGGCAAATTAAAGGGTCACAATGAGGTAAATCAAGTTATTCATAAACTTAAACTAAGAAAGTCTGACCAATTTAGTGGTGTTAGTTTCCTCAAAATACCATAATGCGCATGCAACGCAATTTGGTGTTTGGTTCGCAGGTTAGTGAAGTAGCCGGCCAGTGTGGAACTCACAATAAATCTCCATTGCGAGGCTTGCGCTCACCAACTTAAGAAGAAGATACTTCAAATTGAATTTCTTCTTTTAAGACCTATATAAATCCTATTTGATTATAAAGTACAGTGAGCTAGGTTCCTTGCTAGCTTTAAAAATAACTAACGTAATTTTAGTATCTATCTATACTTTTCGAAACTGTAATCTTTTATTTTATGTTGCTTGACTACTCTAGGCTTTTGGCTGCATTCCGTAATTATTATTGTATTTTATCCATTTTATATCAATAACAAAATATATTTTTTTGAAAACCATGTTAATTGGCATATATTAGAGATAAGCTGAAATAGCATCCGGTGGGAAATCATCCCAGTACATAGCAGTAGACTGATTAAAAGCTATAGACGCTAAAGAATGAGCTAGTAAATTATTTGTTCTAGGGACGAATGTAACTAAATAGTAATCGAAATAGGAAATTAAAGTCCTACAACTATCAATGGCATAGCCAACATAGGACCGAATAGGACCCGTAGTAGTTGATAAATAACGATGCAGTTGCTGGCAATCTGTGTGTAACACAAAATTTCGTTCTCCCCGATTCCTCATCCACGATAAAGCTTCCTTACATGCAAACGATTCTGCCATTAAAGGGGAAAAACAGTTGGGAAGTTCGGCATTGAAGGCTGCTCGGAAGGCTCCGATTTCGTCCAAGAGGACAGCTCCAACGAATGCCTTGTTCGTTGCGGGCAGGTAGCCTGCGTCGACATAACACGAACTCAACTGTGCTGGAGGGTGAGCCATTCCAGCCGCTGGATTCACCACAGGGGCTGGCGGGTTGATGGGGTGCCGGTACAAGTTACCGTCGGAATGCACTTGCCGCCATGCTTGTACCGTAGTCACAGCTGTCGCCACAACTTTCCTTGGTGTTGGCAAGCAGCGATCCCATACTGCTCTGTTTCTTGCCCTCCATATGTGGTATAGAATTGCAACTGTGAACATAATATCATTAGTGTCTAAACCATTCATTACTCCATCAAACCAAGAGTAAAACACATCTGTCACAGTATTGGGGATTGGGATGCGGGACTCATTCCATGTATCCTTTGCAAAATCACACACTACTAAAGCATGCATACCATCTTCATTTGTAGTGCCACGCATAGCACATGTGGGATCAATCTGTACTCTCTTTACAATTAGATTCTGTGTAGTTGGGAAGATACCACTCAAAGCTCTCCATAAAAAGGTCTTCCATTTGTGGAGAATTTTAAGTTTCCATAGCGAGAGCCATTTATTAAAAGTGCCACCATTATTCTCATAATTTCCAACAATGAGCCTATATCCATTCTTTACTGAGTAGCAGCCATTTGGATCCCCATGCCAATACCAAGAATCATCAGGGGAAATAGATATCTTCATAATCCGGGGTATATCAATTGGATCAAATATATCTGCCAAAATTGGTTGATCTCATGTTCCAGTATCCTGGTCAATTAAACCCACCACTTTAGCCCCTACCAAGTGGGGGGTTTTTCAGTTTGTAACATAAGATCCTGACCATCCTGAAGCCAGGGGTGGTCCCAAATCAAAGTAGACTCTCCATTTCCAATTCTCCGTCTAACTCCTCCACAAACTAACCCCTTCGCTGTCATAATACTTCGCCAGCAAAAACTAGGATTATTCCCCAAACATGCTTTAGAAAAAGAATCCTTTGGATAATACCTGGCTTTATATACACGGGCTACCAACGAGTCACCCTTCGTCAACAATCTCCATGCCTGCTTTCCAACATTGCTAAATTAAAGGCTCGTAAATCTTTGAAACCCAGACCACCAAACTTTTTAGGGATACATAATCTATCTCATGCCTTCCCATGGATGCCATGTTTAGAACCTGTACCCCACTAGTAACGATTTATAGTCCTCTCAATTGCTACACAAACATTTATAGGCAATAAAAACACACTCATTGAAAAGGTAGGCATTGATTGTGCCACATTTTTCAATAAAACTTCCTTACCAGCTTGTGATAGTAATTTCTTATTCCAGGACCCTATCCTCTGCCTGATCTTATCCTCAATATATGAGAAAGCTGCCTTTTTATTCCTTCCAACAAAGGAAAGGAGCCCCAAATATTTTCCAAAATTCGGAGCCTGCACCACACCTAGGATCTGCGACACCTCATCCCTATCCTCCACACATGTATTTTTACTGAAACATATGCTGGATTTATGATAGTTTACCACATGTCCCGATAACTTCTCATACACAGCCAAACAATCCTTAACTGCCCCAGCCTCATTAGCATTTGACTTAAAAAATAACAGACTATCATCAGCAAAAAATAAATGAGAAATTGGGGGAGCACCTCTCGCAACTCTACAACCATGAATAAAACCATTATTCTGTGCCTGTTGTAGTAACACCGATAGACCCTCCGCGCAAATAATAAACAGATAGGGAGACAAAGGGGTCACCTTGCCTTAACCCTCTGGTAGGCGTGACAGGTGTACTGCGTGTCCCATTAACCAAGAAGCTATAAGACACAGATGTAACACAGAGCATAATCAGGTCCACCCATCTACTATCAAAACCCAAGGCGAGCATCATTCCCCGGAGAAAAGGCCACTCCATGCGATCATAGGCCTTTGCCATATCTAGTTTCAAGGCCCCCCAGCCAACAGCCCCACACTGCTTCCTATTTAGAAAATGTCCCACCTCCGCAGCTATTAGAATATTATCAGTGATAAGTCGATCAGGTATAAATGCACTCTGAGACTCCGAGATTACTTCATCCATTAATGGTTTCATTCTATTTGCCATCATTTTTGCCATGATCCTATATATCACATTACTGAGAGCTATTGGTCTCAAATCAGACACAAATTTCGGGGTTTCCTTCTTAGGGATTAAAACCACATCTGTCTCATTCAAACCAGGTGGAAAGGACTGAGCATCCAAACAGTCCACCACAAAATCCGATACATCCCTCCCCACCACATCCCAAAAATGCTGATAAAACCCTGGGTTTATCCCATCCGGGCCAGGTGCCTTATCCGGAAACATTGAAAACAATGCATTCTTAACCTCTTCCCTCTCAAACGGACGCATGAGTGATTCATTATGAGCCTGTGTGACCCGAGGAGTCACGCCCCCAAATATAACATCTCCACTCTCAGGGTGGCTAGTGCAGAAAATATTACCAAAATACTGCAATATAACCTGAGTCATGGCATCCCCCTCTACCCAATCCCCATCATCATTCATAAGAGTGGTAAGAGTATTTTTCTTTTTTCGGTGGGAGGCATACTTGTGATAAAACCTTGTATTAGTATCTGCATTCCTGAGCCAGTGTTGCTTGGCCCTCTGTCTCCAATATGCATCCTCCTGAGCCTCAAGTGTTCCTCAAGTTGTTGGTACTCAAGGAGAGAGGCCGGGTCCGTACACCCTTTTAGACACTCCTGCGCCTTCTTCAAACTCATTATCCTCTCCCCAAATTTATGGAATCGATCACCCCCCCCCCCCCATCTAGATAATCTATGACCACAATACTGAACACAACTCTGAAAGCCCCTATCCCTCCCTTCTGCCCATGACTCCTCCGCCACATGCCTACACCCCTCGTCATACAACCACGCAGATTCAAACCGAAAACCCCTTCCCCTGCCACTCCTCCCTCCACATGGATCCCGGATTGCCAGGAATAACACCGAATGATCGGACTTACGGGTTAACAGATTAGTTACCTTTGCTCCAACCACTATAGAATTCCAACTATCCGTAGACAGTACCTTATCCAACCTTTCCTCAATCCAGGATGCTGTGCCCTTTCCCTTCTCCCAAGTAAACTGGTAACCACCCATAGACATTTGGGATAACCCACATTCCTCAATAGTATCCCCAAATCCGCGTAGGAGCTATCTGGATGTGGATTACCCCCTCTTTTCTCATGCTGGAACAGGAGGTCATTAAAATCTCCAATCATCACCCAGGGCAAGTCAAATTTTGATGCAAGCAATTTAATTAACTCCCACGACTCATTCCTTCTATGCCTCTCCGGGAAACCATAATAACAAGTCATCCTCCACTTAGGGAATCCTGCAATACTAACTTTAATATCAATGTGATTTTTTGAGAAACTCAAGAGATTCGCAATATTATTCTTCCTCCACAACAAGGCCATGCCACCACCCAGCCTTACAGGATCAACATAAAACAACCCATCGATACCAAGATTGACACGAATACTCTCGGCATGCTCTCTGCCAACCTTGGTTTCCATAAGAAAAATAAAGTCGGGTTTCTTATGGGACGCTAGGTCCATAATCTCGCGAACTGTCTGTGGATTACCCAAGCCACGGCAGTTCCAACTTAGAGTGCTCATTGGATCAGGCGGGTCTGAGAACCAGATCTCGCCACATACAAGTTTTTTGAACCACCCTCAGTCATCAAAACATCCCCATCATTACCACTCTCCCGCCGTATACCACCACCTGCCCCCTTCTCTTTGTCACCGCTACAACTTCCACATCCACCTCCCTACCCGTGACCGGAACAGTCCCTACCGCCCCCACTGCCGGCATACCACCGATCACACCCGTACAGCCACCAACCACAGCCGGCCCCTCGATCGGCAGCAGCCAGCTTTCGCCCACCGCACGAGGGCCCCTTCGGTTGCCTGCACGCAGCTCATCCGAAAACGGATATTCTCCGACTGGGATCGGCGAGTCTCTTGCATGGACACAGAATTTGTATACATGGCCAATCACCCCCACAAAAGAAACAGAAAGTATGCAGACGCTCGTACTTAAACGTGATCCAGCATGTAGTTTTGTCACGCTTCATAAACTTCATCCGGCGCCTTATCGGCTTGTTAACAGGCAAAGTAATACGAATCCGATAAAACGTTTTCCACGGGGCTCCAGCAAACCTATCATCACCTTTAATAAAAACACCCAAAACATTCCCAACCTGCTCCAAAATTCTATCAGATGTGTAGCCCATGGGTAAGTCATATACCTGCACCCACATGTCTACAGAGTCAAGAACAACATCCCCCGGTAGCACACTGTCGGCCACCTCCCTGCAAACTAGGGTTGCGTTATCAAACGCCCAAGGACCCTCTTCAAGCACACGTACCATATCAGTTCTATGGTAGAACACAAACAAGAATAGCCGGGGCTGTATATCATACACTTGCATGCCCCTCACCGGTTGCCACACCGATGCAAGAACTTGCCGCATATACTCAATCTTGATCAGTTTCTTGGTCAAGAACCTTCCCACTATCCTCCACGTCGGACCTGAACCAGTCGCATCTTCCTCTACACCATCCTCGTCCAGCTGGAATGTCGTCTCCTCCTCCTCAAGGGCGATGTCCGCCCATCTCTGTGTAAGAGCAGCGACCTCTCCAGACGAGCTCACTCCCGCCATTAGCAACGAACAAGAAACAGCAACGAATGCCACACAGGTGCACAGAGAACCGGCGATTAAACCGTAGGGATACCAGCAAGATACTTGAGAAACCCTGGAGCAAACCCATAACAAAATATATAGTACAACTTCACTAAATAATTGATAATGTGTAAATGGTACATGAAAACTATAATAATGAAGTAATTGAAATTCCTTAATAAATTTTCAAGAAAATTTCTGATGAACTTGATTCCTAAGAGAGAAGCCCTCGGCAATTAAGGATGGTACTAGGGTACTAAAAACCGAGTAAGAAACAGGGAAGACTTGGTCACTCGAATTGGTTCCACATGGTAAGACCATGATATCGATCTCTTCTCCCAAATGCACTGTCGGGTTGGAGTGTGGAGGGCCCTTAGGGTTGGGGTTCAACCTTTTAGAAGAATGATATCGATCTCTTTACACTAAAAGGGCGTTTGGTTCAGATCATTTTAGATTAT